AACGTAACCTTCACCGCGGCAATGCCACGTGTTCGAAGGAATTAGTACAGATCCAGGCCACTGGTGCACCGGTTGTCCACACTACAGGTAAAGCGAACAACGTGGAAAGAGCCTGTGTGCATGTTTGCACTGATGTCCTGCGCTTTGCTGGCAACGTATTTTCAGTGAACCATCCCCAAGCAGCACCGCCTTTTTCGCTTAAATATCTCGAGCATCAGAAAATGTGGCATAGCACTGATGACCCTTGTCTGTACTCCCTCGATCTTCTGTTGTCCACTCTTTTAAGCGCTCCGTGCACTGCATTCCACGTTTTCTCGTGACTTTCCTCTGACACTCTCAGCAGCCCCTAAACAAGACAGTACTTTTGTGCACCAATATCGGCTGCATCAGCAGTCTCAGTCACTTAAGCCAAAGTCACTGTTCAGTAAAGCTGACGGTGTCACAACATAATCGGAGTCATTTACATTATCGCCACAGCTGTCTGCCTCACATGATGGCTAAGCAGCAGAGGAGTTGGCAGCGTCAGCGGCTCTGGTCGAGGAGCTGGCAGCGGCGGTGCTGGTTGAGTAGCTGGCGGCGGCAACACTGGTTATTCAGCTGACAACGCTGGAACTGGTTGATGTCGTGTGCGATCGCAATGCTTAGTTTTGATAGTTATGTGTAGTTCACACGGTTATTCGCATCCCTTGTTGGTGTTTTTCAGCTCACTTTTTTGCGCCTTTCACGCAGTCTTGTTTACTGGGGCGGGGGGGGGGGGGTATGTAATGGCTGAAATTTGGATAACCTTATCAGCTATCTTGCTAATGCCGCAGTTTGTAGGGGCATGTTTTTTGTCAATATTTCGTCCTTTCATATCCTTTAGCCTCTAACTTCGCAACTTTTCTGCACTACCTGACCCACGTGATAAGCTTTTAGACGATAGGCCACATAGTTGTACGGCAAACACAGGGTAACGCAACCGCATTTCGCTTCCAACCGAGTTCCCTCCACAGCTAACATTACTGCGAAGGGAGAGAATGCACGCAATTTCCACCCAAACACGCCAAACGCGAACGCACCCAGGCTATCAGAGGGAATGTAAACAATAGAAGCAACAGACAACCGACGTGATGAAATAGGGTCGAAAAGCCAAACAAGCATTCAACTATCCGCTTTTCCGTTTTACGTCATCCTTCGACATCATCCCTCGTTATCGGTATGAGAATCCTATCCTCCTAAGAGAAATGCCAATCGCCGCTAATTCTGCGGAAATTGCCTTTCGTCCGCCTGCGGATTATTCCGATTGGCCTTGGCCTTTTTCACAAACAGCTCTCGGCGGCGGCGCCAGGAGTTCGGCACAGACGCCTCAGATGGTGGCCCCCCGACAACTAGCGACTCGAGGTCATGAACAGGGGTAATCAGATATGTCAAATGAAAAAAATTAGAACGCCGGTAGTGGTGAGTTTCTTAGACAACTTCAAAAATACTTGGCGATGTTTGAAATCAGGGCATAATGATGCACCAGGTAAGACTTATGATGCTTGAGTTTCCCACAAGACATATCTACACATTGAACCTGCACGAAATAATTGAAATGAAATCAAGAAAAAGAGTGCTGAATTGCCGATAACTGCGGCGATAATACAATACGCAACCAGGAGATAGGATCCAATAACCAGGAGATCACAACACCTGTCAAACCTGTGAGCGGTGGTGGAATGGACCGTCGGCTGCGGGCCGAAAGCCCGCTGTGGGTCTTCCGCGCGTGGTGCCCGGTCCGGTCCGAGCCACTGCCGCTGATCAGGGCAGTTGACCTCGGCGATGGCGGCCGGCGCAAGCGATGACGCGTTTGGTTCGAGGGGACGAGGTATTGCCATGGGAATAGCAGCCTACTCCGAAACATGACGAGACTCAGTCGATTCTGTGCTCGCGTTTGCGTGCTGTTTGGCGCAGGGAGCTAGAATCGCTTTGAACTAGGTCGTAAAAAGACCGTGCAGGAGTGAAAAAATCCATCTACAAAAGATGGAACTAATGATCTCGTGACTGATGCTTCAGCAAACAAAGGCATCTATTTCAAGTTGGCATAGATGTGATATCAGAAACCTGACAAAACAAAAACAAAACAAAACAAAAAATAAAAATTGTTAACACCAATAATTTGATACTGCACTTTGCACTTCCCTTCCACAGCACGTTTACCACAAAACAAAGGAAAGGAATTCAATAGCAAGATAACAAAAGAAAATTCAACAAACATGAAACACTTAGACAAAAAGCAACATTGGACTCCTACACATCAGCCCATCACCAAGTCAAACACAATAGACATACCTCTGGCTTCTGCTAAGATGGGTTCAGGGAAAACAAACATTTTGTCACTGTTTCTTATAAAATACCAAAGCTTATTTCCATGAAAGTAGCCTAGCTATGCCTAACCTAAAGAGGCCTTATTTCTTCTCATCCTGTCTAACCTGTCTGTATCACAGCAGCAGTTGTGCGTTACTGATTCTTGCACAACTCCTATTGCCACTTGCATGCACTTAACCAAGTTAACCCGACTTGGAGTAGCCCATATGTTGGAGGTCTTCTCAGCTCACCTATCTGTTGGCAGTAGCACTTGTGATAAAACATGATAAAGCTAATTTGTGGCTGCTTTCAACTTGCACTTGCATTCAGTTCATTTGTGTATGCTTGTTGACATCAGACAAAGTTGACAACACATAAACGAAAACAACTTAAATCACTTTGAACAACTTATTTTGATTGCCATGGTTAACATATGTCAAGGGCAAAAATGAGTGTGCTGCACAAAACAATCACCCGTCTCCAAAAGTGACCTAATCTTTAGACAACCATGCTAGTATTGCCGTCTGCCTTTTGGGCTGCAGCAAATGCATCAATTTAGGCTTGTTTATTCACATTTAATGACACAGTTTGGGATGTTGGCTTCACATTTTAAGTGGAATGCTCTGACTATTTGTTACATACTAATATTTAACTCAAAATATAATTGCTATGCAGCTTATAGTACTCCTGTGTTAAAAATACAGTGCATAGATACAGTACGGCCACAATATTTTTATTTATCTATTTTGCAGTCATTTGTCAGTCAGCAAACCATGACAACGATAGAAAATATTTGGTTGAAGCAGCCATGAGAGAGCACTTTAAGAAATTTGGGGCAAATAATCAGTAATATGAAACAAAATAAGCCCAGTGCATGCACTGTGGCATCAAATTTGTCTTATGACGAAACTCTATGGATTAAGACAGAAAATGGCTAACTCTGATTACCAATCATGTGTTGAAAGCAGATAAGGTAAGCAATTAATTGGTCCACAGGGGTCTTACTGGCTTCTTCCTGCTCCCTCAAAACAAAAAGCCAGTACCTTTCGCATGGTCTGCTGGCAGACAGTCATCCCACTCCCCTCCCCCCCCCCCCCTCACCCAAATATAAATATCAATCATGTCCACCAACCTACGAGATTAAAATACGAAACGAGTAAGAGGTGTACATGATAAACATCTCCATAGGACAAAATTTCGCCATAAAACACTTTTGTATTAGCTGCGTCAGGTCTGTCCAAAAGCTGTGTATGGCAGCATTAGGATGGCCTTATCAGGTAGCCTGGTGAGTTAGACACTCGAAAGGTTTGGATCTATCATTATTGAGCACCACCATGAACCAAGAAAATGGTTAGCCGAGTGTTTAACATGTAAAAAAGGCGGTAAAAATAAGTTCCGTGCTTCAAATTGTCTCCTTCATTCCCTGTGAATTGTTCACTGTTGGGTGCATATTAAACGTGTTCGGGCAGCTGGCGAAATATTCCGATTTAGGCATAAATGACGTACAAGTTTGCAGTTGGAGCATCTTGCAGAACAATTGGTCAACATTTTAAGCAACAGATGGTACCTCTAAAGGCAATCGGAAAGGAAGGAAGAACAAAGTGGTATCACACTCGTATGGTACCAAGAAAGGCATGAGTAGTTAAATAAATATAAAGACTGATAAATTTTGGCATCAGCTGAGTTGACTTAAAATCTATTAACATGAGTGTTCAAATGGTGAAATTAATCTTGTAAATCTTATCTAGAAGACATTTCTTGAGTTTTTCACCCTTGCATTTCCAGAGTGACGCAATTTAGTGGTCAAGTTTCCTCGGGAAAAAAAAAATACGTGGAGTAAAATTATCTACCAATCCTTGCTGGTATTTGCACCACGCTCTGCTTTCGTGATGTCATGGTCAGACCAAAAAATAGGGGATGCGTGAAAATGTTGCATTTGGCACACAGCTGCCGATTGTGATGCATTTTGTGAACAAACCAAACTTAATGCGTGCAAGCGGCTGGAGTCGCTGGGGTTCTTGTGCTTGGAGGTACCTGGTGCCCTTGCTCTGTGCATACATAGACATGATTCAGATGTAGGGTGAGGCAGGACATAGCCATTGGTGCCCAGGTTCTGTGGAGCCTCGTTTATGCTTGGTGGCTTCAAGTAAGCTCGGTTTTGGATGACATCTAAAACCTAAGAAAGAGAAAGAGGGGTTTGGCATGTGCGATCAGGCAATGTCAGGCAGGAGTGAAAAATTCATATAAAATATGGGGAAAATGAGTCAAAGATTCCTCCTCATAGGGTGTTGCTTTGCACCCAAAGTCGGCAATTCTAGGACACCGGTTTGGCGTGACGATGCCTTTCTCTCTTTGCAAATGTGCAGCCTAAGATACTAAATAATTTTCGTTCTTTGCTACGCACTTATTTCCGTTTAACAATGTTTGTAAGCAGCCAATGTTAGCATCAGAGCGGTACGTGACGCAACACTTGCCGGGGAGCTTTTCCGTATCCGCCACCGCGCAGCAGATGTGAGAAATAGCAGCTGAGGGCCGTGCTGCTTGACCACTTGTTGCCGACGTCGAGTTCTCTGACGTGTTTAGATCGCCAGATGATAGTTGGCGGTTTGGCCTCACGCTCATCACTGAAGTGCGTTCCGCGACTGAGACGAATAACTGTTTGCATGTTTTTTCAGGCTCCAGGTCCTGCTCCACACGGTACAGGTAAGAAAGTCGTCCTTCTCAAAGCGCTATTTCGTGAGTTACGTTGAGACTCGTTGAATTACACGTACTTGTACGCCAGCTGGGAGATTGTCACGAATGTAAGCCACGGACAATGAGCGGGCGTAGCTTGTTAAGGTTAGCGGATTGAATCATTGCTCGGAGTATCGTCCTCCTTTGGTGAGTTAGTATATACACAACGTTTCGGCCAGTTAATCCTCCGGCCGTCGTCAGCTGCTATTGGGTCCTGAGGAAAGGACTAGATGGCGCTGGCTTTCCGCTGTGTGTGCATCACGACTCGAATATTCCTCCTTGAATCGCCGGGATTCGAACCGGCGTTTTCTCTTCGATTCCGGCGCTCTACTATTTTAACTGTGAGCTGTGACGCACGTATGTCTGAAAGCCAACCACTATGCAGTCCTCCGTAGGACGCAATGACAACTGGTGACGGCCAGAGAATGAGCTGGCCGAATTATACTAACACTATACTATGGTATACATGCTGACACACCAGGCGGGGACGATAATCTGAATGATTATTCCATCCGTGGTGCAAGTCAACTTCTCAATCCACCCGTAAAATTATTAATAAGATTTGTCAAAGCATCTATGTCGACAGTTACCTATTGCCGGCTTCGGAAATACATAAAACAAAACTTAGAGCTGTGCCAGCTCCTTAACGGCGTAGATATTTCAATCCGACATTGTATGCAAAATTCAACCTACCAGCAGCCGCCAGGCAAAAAGTGCAACACGTACCAGCGAGTGCAGCGTTCACCAACTGCCGTCGATAACCTATGTTAAAGGGGTATAGCTCACAGAAGCGTCGTGCAGTTGTTTCCGAACCCCATACGACAACCATCACAACCATACGACAACCATCTGACCATGCAGCTGTTGCAGATTTACGTAACAGCTTGGCATCAGCCATGCTGATCACCGCCTCTCAGCTTACGCTTTGCGCCAGAACACCCGTTTCAAAGTGGCTTTGGCTGACATGTATTACCCCGACTTCGACTGCCACCCCTATCCAGCTGTGCACTGCAGAGGAGGTGGTGCGTGACCTCACGTGACCTCCTACAGGATGGCTACCTCCGCCTGGCGGACAAACGCAGCAGAAATGCGTGCCAGATGTAACCCCTCGGTCGCATTCGTGCTTGGGCTGCGAAGGGTAACGCTGCCGTGAGTCCCCGTGATGCTGTCATTCGTGCCTGTGTGCCGCACCCTCTGTCCTTGTCTGACGCTGTCGTCAGTCCTCGGGACGCCGTAGGCTGCCACTGTGGCGCTCCCATCTATACTTAAGGCGCTGTTGTCTGCCCTTGTGTCGCTGTCGTCTGTCATTGTGACGCTGTCGTCTGTTCTCGCGACGCTGGCGTTTGGCCCATCCTTATGGCGCTTCTGTTTGTTCTTGAGCCGCTGCCGTCCGTTCTTGCCAGGCCTCCAGGTGTATGTCTGCCCTCGTAACACTTCGGTCTGTTTTTTTTTGTTTTTGTTTTTTTTTTTGTTACCGCTCGCGTGACCGTGCTCGGCAGGTCACCATCAGCTACCTGTTGATGCTGGCCGTGATGACGCAGAACGCGTGGGTGCTGACTGCCGTCTGCCTGGGCGCCGGCTTGGGTTACGGCACGTTCAGGCCGCTGGTGATGAAGGTCGGCTCCGGACTCAACAGCGGCCACGGGGAAAGTGGCGCCCAGTACCGCAGCATATCAAGTGTGCGGTAGGCTTCGACAGCGCGGAGGATACTTACCAAACGTACCACGAGCTTTCAGAGGTCTTCTACACGTCCGCCACGAATGTGCATCAGCTTCTCTGCAGCGTTACAGAGGTCGGATTTAGCTGCAATCAGACTGCTCAGACATCGAGGCGTGAATTTTTTTTGTGAATCTTAAGAGCGTCTGAAATGGGGCGTCACATTCGTGGAAATGTAAATACATTGAACCGGGTTCGCACTTAATCTTGATGACGTCGCATCGTGGTGAATTTCAAACTGGACACCACGCTGCTGTCAGACTGGACGGTCTGACTAACCTACACGCTACTGGCGCACCGGATCGCCAGGCCCGGCAGGATCCCGGAAATGGAAAATCCTAGTGCTCATCAATCGCTGTTACGAATGCGCGATGTTGAACTGGAGCCAGTTGCGTGATAAAGGTGGGCGCGTTTTTCGATTACCCTTAAAATTTGTGGTACAAGTTGGTTTTAAGATACAGTAGTGGGGTTTCGACGACATGCGCTATGTCCCAACCTTACCATGCTTCTCACCAATCAAACCAATCCCTTTCCTGACGTTTTGACACATCTCAAACCCTTTAAAGAATCACTAAGTCCTCGTCACTGCAGCATCGGTCTAGTCTTCTGCTCTCGAGGCGCTGATCGGTTGAGAGTCTCGCGGCACGCTTCAGATGCCTCTTGACGGCACACATCTGGATCGGCGTAAAGCTTTCTTCTACCACGGCACGCATCTGGACCGGCGTAGAGCTTTCTGCTGCCATGGTACACATCTGGACCGACGTAGAGCTTTCTGCTGCCATGGTACACATCTGGACCGGCGTAGAGCTTTCTGCTGCCATGGTAAAATTTCATCACCGCCTACTATCCCGAGCTTCAGTGTTCACAGACTGTCCCGAATGCAGAAGTTGAACGATGGCCCGCGGAAACCGGCGTGCAATACCCTCCCTGAAACATGCTGATGGTTACGACTCCCAGCGCATGCAGACGTAACTTAACTCGCGCTCGTGTGGGGTTCAAATTGACCCCTCCGAAGGTTGTTCCGGAATGTTTTCCGAACGGCACCATGAAGTCACGCTAAGTTCGCATGCCTGTAGACAATTAAATAGCGGATCGCCTAATACCAAAATTTTAGATATACTTTGTAAGGTCGCTGGCCTATGGAATGTCAAAGTCAGGCCATGGTTTCAGCACAGGCAAGTTCTCGGGAATCGTTCAATCTGATCCAACAACGGGGTGTAAGACGAAGCCATACACCTCTGAGATACTTTCTTAGGCAGCATAACAATTTAATGAAAAGGTACGTTGACCTAGGGTCAGGTATGAAGGTCAGTCCAAGGTTAAAACCTACCTGCTTTATTACTCTAGAGCTTGCTGCATGGGATAGTTTCTGGTGCTCATTTCAAACTTGTTGATAACAAGAACCGGATTGTACACCTTCCATGGACTTCTTAAAGGTCAGGATAGGTCACTGACCTAAAATGCAGATCAACATTTTGTTTTAGAGACATACTGTATAGCGTAAATTTTGTCGCTTATTCAAATGTAAAACTCAAAGCAGTCTTGCATCATTTTGGTCACCATGACCTTCAAAAGGTCAAGCAAGATCAGTGAAGAAGTGGGCATGAAACCTTTCTGGTTAGAACAGGTATCTAAGTTCTAGGGGCCCTCTGAGGACCAACCTGGAACTGGGCTTTTTTGACCTTATTCGACCCGAAGGTCATAACCTAGGAGCCTCAAACATTGACCAAAGTGAGTTCACGTATAGGTCAACACACCCTGTCAATATGGTGTATCTAGCTCTCTTTGTTCCTGAGATCTCAGAGGGGTTAAATTAACCCCCCACCCGAGCGAAGAGTATCCGACCGGTCACCCGAGCGCGTGTTAATTAGCCATATTCGACAACACGTAGAATGTTTCCTTGCCATCAGGCTTTGATCAGCTGTACGGTACGCCTCACGTGAGCGCCAGATATATCGCCATGCTCACTAGGAAAGCGCCTTTGAGAGGTGTAGGTGTACTTTCCTACCTAGCGTTAGAAAAAATCGCTACCTTGGCCCGGTACATTTTTATGGTTCTTGATGCTGCTTGATGCGCAGTAATGTTGTGACCCGCGCAGTAATGGCGCCGGTGTCGCGGGTGCTGTGTGTGTGCGGCGCTCGGGAGCTCGCCATCGTAATTATAAAAAATTGAAGGTAAGATCATGAGTCTACCTGTTTTGTGATTATTTACGATATGTCCTGCCTTAAACACGACGAATGGTTTACCTTGGTCCCGTACAATTTGTAGAGTTCTTGGTAAGCAGAAATATTGTATTTACGCAACGGCAACGCAGAAACGACGCTGGGGAGTCCAGGCGGTGCGGTGCGCGCGGCGCTCGGGAGCCCGTCATCGAAGTTATTGAAATTCGAAGGTAGGAGCATGATTCTACCTGTTTTGAAATTGTTTACGATATGTCCTGCCTTAAACACGACGAATGGTGTACAATGATTTTTTCTAACGTTAGGTAGGAAAGTACACCCTGACCTTTTGGCTTGATGTATTGTGGTACTCCTTAGATCTTGCATTTCATTTACGTAACATTAATGCGCACTCCATCTGGTATCATTGGTCGGGTGTTGTCAGCTTAAGAACTTCAAAATCTTAATGCCGAAAAACCAACAGGTCAAGGCCTTTCTCCACACTTCTTCGCCGTTGGGTACATGAAGGTTCAGTGCTAACAAGTACTTGTGAATATGGTCAACGGCTACCTGCAACCAAAATGCCTAACCACAACACGTCGTTCGATAAAGCGATTTGGACATAAAAGTAGTGCCGCTCTCTTTGTTGCTCCTGGTTTTGCACTCCAGAAGTGTCGTTTAGGGCACTAGAAAGAGGGCAGGAAACAAGTAACCCCAGCCTCGCTTCAGCGGGCAGCCAGGTTCAGGAAGGGGCAGGACAGGGGAAGGACAGCAGCAGGAGAGACACCGCCCAGCCCATGGCCTGAAGCTGTTTCACAAGTGTCAACGTTTCAAAGTTCCACAAGTGTCAATGCATCGGATTCCGCCCAGATTCCGCCCAGAGCAACCCCGCATAGAGATTGGGCCACTTCCTGCCACGAAGTGTACACCTAAGGCCAGTTACGAAGGCCATGCTCGGCGATGTCCCTCCAGGTTCCTGTCATGTTCATGTCCTTATCACCATGTTCTTGATCTCGTGCTGCCTACAGGAAGACAGCTGAGATATGTTCGTCCCCTCCCCCCCCCCCCCCCATCCCCAAAGCTCATTCTGTCAGGGCGCCTGCCCCCATCCTACCGCGGCGGGGGTCGTCAGCGCTAGGCATGTTAAACATGTTAAACATTCATGCTAAACATTGTTACATGGTAAACACTCGCCACAAATGTCTGTCTTTGAAGTGAAGTTTGACGAGCGGATGGTGGTGCCAGAGACCACGCAACGCGCCTGCTGGGCGCGGGCTCTGATTCCAGAAATGTATAAAATAAAGATTTGGGAACTTATTTTCTAAAAAGGCAAGTCGCTGTCCGGGTGTTACAATGTATTGAGCTTCTGACCCAACACTGCAGTCGGCCACGAACGCTGACACGGCTTCGCGTTGCTACAGTTTGCATCGTTGTCACAGCTTGCACTGCATGGTGGCACACCATTAAGTACAAAACGCTGAAGAAAAGACATATGGTTAACAAGTCAGTCTGGGTTTTCATGAGGCGTGTCTAAAGCTACGGTTTGGCTTAATGTAGTGACGTTTCCTAAATGCGAAAGATCATTACGGCACATGGGTACATGTGGTACATGGGGGAGGCAGCCAATCCCACTAAGCGAGACGTGGAACAGTTCATGGGCCAGCAAAGTACGATCCAGCCTATGGTTATAAGAATGCTGGCGTTAAATCACAGAGGGATTTGAAAATAATTTGCAAGACTGCGGTACAGCTGACACTAGTAGGATCACCCAGAAAAAAACTCGAAAGCAAGCGCGTGATATGAAGGCATCTCTGGTCATTGCACAGGCATGAAATATTCACCACGGTGCACATCGGGCCTCAGCAAGAACAGTAACAAGCACAAACTCGAGATGATCGCCGCAGGGCATAACTTTCCGGGAAGCACGAAGGCGTGCCGCAACTTTTGTAAAGCTAGGCCTCTCCCGACTTTGCACGCCAAGCTCTTCTTTTCTACGGTTCGTGCCACATTATTCGCATGAACCGCAAGTGAAAAAGTTCGGCCAGTGCCGTGTAAGTGCAGCACATGGGAACAGCTAGCATAAAACAATAGCGCGCACTCTTAACCATACGTTACGTTTGCCTCCCCTTGGTCACCCGCTAACTCCACATCATACCATGTCAGGCTTACTTCAAGCCTTTTACTTCTGACCCTCTGAACCGCAATAAACAATCTATATATTAAGTGTTTACCAGGGAAACCCGGGTGCTGCATGAGTACCAGACACAACACAACGCTAGCATAAATGAACACGGGTAAGGCCATAGAAGGAGTGGGGCGGTGCCGGGGGGAGAGGGACAAGGTCGGTTGTCTCCAGCGCTCGTTATACTACATCATTTCAGTGAAGGACAGGACGGGCAAAGCGTCACTGTCATGGTTGCATCGAGTTAGCCAATATCCTACGGGTGTCAAACACAATCGCTGTGAACTATTGCAGAATTCCTGACAGTCTGGATCGTGGGTTTCTGCCTGCCCCTCCCGTTATTTGAGCATGCCGCATGTTGCCAGCAGCGCAGCACAACACGCAAACACGCTTCGTAAAAAATTAACAAGTTTGCAGTCTACGAACCCCGATCCTCGCCAGCAACTTGGTCAGGGGGAGCGAGCGCCTAAAAGACGACCCAGGAGACCGCTTCAGAGCGACACTGCCTCGCGATCGTTCAACCGCTCCGCCTCCTGACAGCGACAGCAGTCCACTGCCAAGCATGTCCAGCATCACGCAGCAGCGACCCCTAGTAGCCCCGTATCTCCGAAGTATCAGTCCACTGAGCGCAAGGTCCTCTCTGGCCACACAGCAGCACGCCAGCGACGCCGACGTGCTTAAAGCGCACCGTCCTGCCGCAGACATCACGGTGATGCAGGGAGAGGGGGGGGGGGGGCTAGACAGGTCAGGGCGGAGTCTCCCGGCGCTCACGCCAGCTGCGTCCACCGGCCGCTGGCGCTGCCCACCCCTCCCCTGGCGCAGCACTGGCCGACCCACCCGCTTTAAACACCGCTCCGAGCGTATGAAACACACCGCCTCACGCTCTGTCGCACTCTCGCAGTGATGGCGCCACTGTCGCCGAGTTCCTCCCCGCGCTCCGAGCGCTCACGCCGTGAAGTGACCGAGCGACGTCGGTCACGTGATCATGGCGATTGCTCCGGGACATGCCCGCGGCGAGCGGCAGCTCAGCCAGGTCATGTGAACGCGCCAAGTGCCCTCAGGGCACGCCTCAGCACGGCACGTGATCCGAAGGGGCGGGGCGAGCGGCCGGCGCTAGATGCAAGCTGGCTTGTCTTCGAGCCGCTGTTGTCGCACACGCTCCCCGTTGAACGCGACCGTACAGATCGTACCTGTGAAGAGTCCCGTGGTCAGAAGGGGCCTATCAACCCGGCGGAACAGCCATACCCTGCTGTCTGCAGATTTCGGAAAAGGCTCAGGATTTAGTAGGCTGCATTGGGAGAAGAGGGTGTCGCCGAACCCCCGTGACGTCACCTATGTCGACACTTACTAATGGTCGGGAAGATTGCCGACGTGAGGAAGAGGGCGAGATAGCCGTATTTCTCCAGCAGCAGGCTGGTGAAGAACACAGGGATCGGCGCCACCAGGCCGCCACTCAGCCAGATCATGCCGTAGATGACGCCAGTGTGCTGCAGACCGAACGTGTGCGCCACCTGCCAGCGGGACAGTAGCGCCATCCATCGCGGTACGGATTAAATACAGCTTCGGCCAGTCCGTCATAGGGCGGGTGGCTCTACAATCCGAACTTATCATTGTTAATTTATTTTTAGAAATTGTGGCCATCTGTTGTCACCCGTCAGCGTCGAAATAAACAAAAACTTGATGGGAGGACCAGAGTTCCTACATTTACATTAACTACGCAGCTAAAACATGCCTCTGCTTTACATATGAATGCGCTGCCTGCGCTCGCACACATTACATTCGTCCACATCACGCCGTCACTTTTGCCTCTTCTTCTGACTGTTCAACTCAGCTAGGGTGGAGCGCGTCACAGAAGTAACCAGCCGTACAAAGATCTAACAGTGCCCGGAAGGCCTGCAAGCCCCAACGGGAGGAACCCAACTGACGGAGACGTTGATGATGTGTGAAGCTTTACGTCTGACACTGTCCTTGTCTGCGTCCGTGAGCGATACCAAAACTGATGTCGAGGCTTCGTGGCCTACTCCGGTAGCAAAGCTGCGACAAAGGTGGCCGAGCAGAGGCGGTACAACAGCGGCAGCTCAGGGGCGACCGCAGAGAGACAGGCTAGGGATCGATCGAATGCTTTAAGAAACAGGAAAAACGAAATCCAAAGGCAACGTGTCATCGTCGACAGCGTATTGTACCAGCACCAGCCTGGCGCTCACCTCCGCCGGAATGACCGAGAACGTTCCCGGGAACGACATGTAGATGAGGCACACCCAGATGAAGAACATCGCCTTGCCGCCGTATGAGGTGAGGTAGAGCGTGGCGAAGGTCGTCATGAGCAGCCCGGCCACGCCCACCATGGCCACCTGGCGACCGAAGAGGTTTGCATGGTCAGCACTCGGCAGACGACATGACCATTACATCTCTTCGAAAAAGCTTCTCTCTGACTTATGACCAGCACGGTGTTATTCCCACTGCTTGTTAAATGTCACGAACAAAAGTAAAACAACTCAGGATGGTGTTTATGAAATCCGTGACTCACAGAGCGCTTCAACATATAATATACATATATATACATACATATATATATATATATATATATATATATATATATATATCCTAAATGTAGATACCCATTTTTTTCCATTTCGGTGTCCATTGCTCAAGCAACACAGGACAGAAAGCTGACACTACGCATTCATTGTAACTGAACTCCCGGTTGGCGGTTCAATGACGGCACCTTCATGGTGTGTATAGCGTTTCTGTTCCTGCGTGCGCGTGTGTGTGCGTGCGTGCGTGCGTGTGTGCGTACTTGTGTGCATGTGTGCGTGTGTGCGCGTGTGCGAGTGCGCGTGCGTGTGCGAGTGCGTTCGTGACTGCGTGCGTGTGTGTGTGCGGGCCTACATAACGATGCAACAACATCGGCTGGGAGCATCGGCCCTCAGTAGGATCATCGGTCCCAGCAGGAGCATCAGCCCCCAGCGGGAGCATCGGCCCCAGCAGAAGCATCAGCCCCCAGCGGGAGCATCGTCCCCAAGCGGGAGCATCGGCCCCAGGCGGGAGCACAGCCCCTAGCGGGGCATGACAGTCACCTTGTAGTTGGCCCTGTCGTTGACGAAGCCCCAGATGATGCGTCCCAACAGGTTGAACACCGACGCCGCCGAGCCGACGAGCGACAGGAACTGGTCGTCATCTGCGGCACACAGGCAGCCAATCACAGACCGCGGCGGAGGCGGGGTGCAGCGTGGGTGAGTGACGGTCATACTGAGGCCTGGTGGGGCTCCCTGCGAAACCCATGGGATGGTTAGCTGCACGGCATCACCTGCGCGGTGGCTCTCTTTTGCTTCTTTGCTGGCAGTTTTACTCGCTGTCCCATGGAAGGTGTACTTTACCCGCTGGCGGGTTTGACGTGTGTGGACGTGTGATTTGCAACATTGACGCTTCTTCTTTCAGTAGTGCCTGTTGGAGACGACTGTACACCCGTGCTTGACCCAACACACTTGAATGTAAGTGGTGTTTATTCCCACCAGCGTTCATCGACCGGCACCACTCCACAGCGCCGCTCAAACGCATTCACGAGTATACTATATGGCCGCATCCCCGTAAAGCCGCATCCGTCGAATCGTAGCATTTCGAGCTCTGAATTGTAGCCTACGGGCCCGCCGTGCGACCGTCACTCGAACTGATCGCACCGAGCGCAATCGAATCAGCATGTCGCGCTGCTCTATCCGCATAGGGACTGTCGGGAGCAGCACGACGGGAAGATCGGACACGAGGATCGCCGCGGACCGTGTCGGGGCACTGTCGCCCGTGACGGGACAGCATCGGTGCGAGGGACTGTAGATCTCGCGCCGGATCCCTGCGCGCCTAAAAGACATCGATAGATTTGCCTACAGCCGCCTGTGTGCCAGCTGCAAGCTGGGCCTGTGTTCACCAGCGCTCCTCTCGTATTGACGTGTCGTACCGAGTGCAGCCGATCGACGCGGACATGGTTTATGCAGCACCAGTGTCGTGACACCTCCAACCTCGACAGGAACCGACCGCGTTAGCGTGAGCATGCTGAACATTTGTCCCTCTTTGGTCACTGGGTAAGGTTATGCACTTTTCGAGACGTTTGACCACCGCAGCGGTCCCACGAGCGTGGCAACACGCTCAAGCGACACGTGTTCCCAAAGGCAACGTCTCCGCAGAGGCGTCGAACGTGCGTCCCATATCGATCTGGACCGTTATTATTGCGCTGGAGGGGCGTATAACGCGCAAACAACTTACCGGACGCATAGTGAAAAACAGATTACCTTGGAAGCTCAGTACGGTTACCAATACAACGCCTCGCAAAATCGATGCTTCGCGTCGTAATTGAACCGACGCTTCACGCCATGTACGACGGAAACATCTGCATTGTGGGCTTGAAGAATGCTTCGAAATGCTTTGAAGTGGTGTTCATTTAAATCGCTGAAAAAGCTGACTCTTTACGGTGTAAATGGTTGGCCACGCGCAGGAAAGACGGCGCTGTTAAGCCCCCGACCCCTGAAACAACGAGATGGGAGCCTTTTCAAGACGGCTCAATCTGCTGCATCTTGCACACGTTGCGCGCCAGCGACCTCAGCCGTCGCGTGTCGGATGACGTTATCGTCGTCCAATTTGCTGACGATGCCCAGATACCGTTAATTGCAAGATCCGTGATATACAGCGCCCCATGCTCGGCATGCAGGACGCACTGCGCGCTGTTTATCAGCGGTTCTGCCATAACGGCATGAAACCGAACACCAGGCGGACGCAGCCGTTGGTCCTAGGAACACTGGTGATGTGCCGTGACCTAACGCCGGTCAAGCTTAGTTTCTGCGGCACTGTCGTTCCTCACTCTAGGGTGGTTAAAAGTCTAGGAACAGCGATGGATTGCCATCTGACCTTCCAGATGCACGCTGATAGCATAGCACGCACGCATACAGGCATGCTTTACTAATTGCATAGCTTTAAACCATGCGCGGCATGTGTAGGTAATGCAGAAGACGGCGTCGACGGGCATGGTTCTGGCGCGTGCTCTGTCCGTTTTCAGTCACCGCCGCAGTTTTCACTCACTCTGTGCAAAAACGGCCAGTTTTTTACGTACGTGCTCAACAAAAGAGAGGCGTGACGGCCCACGTCCGGCGCTGCTTGACAGCCTGGATGGCTCACTGCCAAGTAGCTGCCCATAACCCACACGGCGTGCGCGCAGTGGAACTGATTGTCATGCCTGGCCAGCCGAGGAGCCCTTGACGAGCAGTCCAACCACCCGCCTGCCAGCGACATGACCACAGCGCACGGTCGGCCACCGCTGCCGCCCTCCGCGCCACACACACGGAGGCGGCGGACAGACTGTGTTATGGTTTAAGGCGGTTGGGTCAGATCCGATCAGGCTAAGCTGGTCTAGTCAGGTATGGTCAGACTTAAGCCGCAGCGGATGGATGTCGGCTCGTGTTCGCCACGATCTTCTCCTGGTGAACACGGACCGGACCGCCAGTCCGTGTTTTCGTGTCGGCGGACGGCGACTGTGCTACCGTGGCTTTTTAAGCCAGTACATACACGGTAGATGCACAATTTATCTATCGCCCATCCACCATACACTTATCGAATATCTGTAATACGCCACATGTGATCGGTGACGTTGATGATCGTGTTGGATTTTACGACGCTCAGAACTCTTTTGTCAACCTCCCAGTTACCATCGCTTAAATCCAGATTTGTCGTTTCTGCACGACGATGAACGAGCCATGATACCGTATGACGTATTCCGCGTTGGCTTTTGATGTAATCGGTGACGTTTTTCGTTTTCCCGTGCTTCTTTCCAGTCATCTGCTTTGCCATTGCCATCTTCATCCATCATAAAATCATTGACAATAATGAGTCGCGGTGTCTGATGTTTGGAATTGCATGTTTCAGGCGGATATCGTCGGTCACATGTATACTGTTATTCCGTACTATCTTAAATATGCTAATTTGTTCGCACACACATTTTTTTCAGCTCGTCGGATGCGTCAAAAGCATGGGACGTCATGGCGAAAAGTGAGCAACATAACATAACCCAAGGATCGAGATCCAAAACGGCTTTCTTGTTGCAGCGTAGGTCATACCTGAGTTGCACAAGTCCGTTCCCATCATCTTCAACATTCAGGCATGCAAGAAAGTCGTAATCAACAAGCCACAGCCAATCGTCCACATAAATGACAAAAGAATGACGTGTTGAGCCGAAGCATGGTGTAGACAAACACATGGCTTATGACCCCGGCCTATATGTACGCGCGTCCGACGCCCTGACAAATGCGAATGTGTGAACAGTGCTCAAGGAATGCCGGCGACAGGGCGCGCCGGGTCTTATCAACTCGGCTGAGACATGACTGCCGATATCGGCGTCAAAAAAGTACGCACTCGACCTGAAGTTTTCCGAGAAACTGTTTTTAACTCCTCGGTTGGTAGTACGTTCCCAGCATAATTCAGAAATATGTTTTCATCATAGTTCTGTTAAGCGGCGGAAGCCTGTGTTTTCGCTTCAGTATCACGGAATATCATGAAATCGCGCTTTTTCTTCAGTGTTCAACAAAATGGTGACAGAGGAGCAAAAAGAGCAAAAGACTATGCTGCAAAGAACTGAATACAGACTCCGCGACAGTAAGCTCACAAGTACGACAAAAAGTAAGGATAAACTTGACATTCAACTGCCTGTGGTTTTGCGCACACAAACCTATGTATCAACGTGCGATAGACCTGAAACAGGAAAGTCAGATCTACTATCAGATGTACTATCTCACGAACTCAGCATGCTTCAGGCTTTGTTGGCTTATCCTGGCCAAGAAAATTCCTATGCAACAGACGCCACAAACCAAGGCCAAACTCTGGTGTCTGGGAATTCACTGCCGGGTTGGCAAACAATTAGCGAGTATTGGCACACCAACCGGCGTTAAAACATCCAACCAAGCATTCTTTCCTGACGTAGCAGCGAGGAAGTTCACCAGAAAAAACTGCAGATAGCATAAGCGATCACAAGACAACACGCGCCTGAGAGCAGACAAGACGTAGCTGAAACGTCCACGCTCGAACACACGAGTTCAGACGGAGGCGCGGGTCAAAGAGTGCGTGCACGGCGCCCGTCAGCGCGTGTTGGCAAGCCAGCTGCGCGTCTACGCCGGTCCGAGATATGCTTTGATCGCGAGCTGTGAACGCGCGCCAACACCGTGATGGCTTGGCGGCTCCTCGGCCACCTCATCCGGGAAAAACAAACAGCTGTCGACGGCGGTAACATCGAAGGCATTTTCGAACGGGGTATCTCGATTAGAGCGGGTTGAGCCAGTCCCGGCGCGTCATTCGGAGCCTGGGAAGTCCACCGTGCTGGGCTACGTCCTCCTGGAGGTCTTGGCACGTCTCTGGCTGGTTCTGAATGTTTCCCTGTCTGATAAACGACGGGGCACCAAGACTGTATTGCCTAATGTGAGACAGCTGTGGCGGCGAAATATGGTCTCATGGCATCGCGGCTGTCAGCATGTGATCGGACGGAAACATTACTCGTACATTCATTGCCTTGGAACCTGGTAAACGCACAGACTTTAACTTTAAATACTGACAAGTCATGTGCAGGACACGTAGCACGGTGTTCCGACTTTTAAGAAAAAAACCGAAGGTCTTAAGAGCAAGCAACGAATGAAGCAATGTTCCTTACGCCCAATATTGCTGAAAATGTAAAATGCGTAACTGAGTTCTTAGAGCAGCTGCATCATACGATGTTGAGCAGCTGTAGGATGGGAGACACCAAGGCAAACCCTGACAGTAATATTCGACACAGCGGGCCGAGATTGCAAGCAATCACGCAGCGGTGACGTCATACACCCAAGTAACTGTGTCTGCACGTAACCGTGTATGTCATAGCCCGAGTTGCAATCAGTGATTTACCATTCTCACTGAGACATCTTGATAATTGTGACTCAGCATCATGAGCACAATTCGCTCCGAACTGCCAGGCATTGGCATCGGTCCACACCACTACGTAACCCCAGACATTCCAGCCACTTATATTGGACCCGGTGCAATCACTTCACACTTCAAACACTCCAAGCACATCACAAAATGGCCGGGACAACTAAATGGGAGAGTCAGCCGGGACGCTGCAGAGACCGATTCATTTGGCAGCATGAGTGATGTGTGTCCGGTGATGTAGCAGGTGAT